ATCGCATTTCAAGCATTTCTTTGTTAAAAGAGAAAAAATAATACAAGTATTTATATTGGCCAAATTATAACCGTATGCAAATATTGCAATATGAAACTTTAAAAATGAAATTGCATGTGTGTGCCGTATTAAAGGTAAAGTCAAATTACAACCATTACAAGTACCACCACCACAGCTAATAAGAACGGAGCGATAACGGACTTCCATTTTTAAACTAATGGTTTATACGCCGATATAATTGTTGTTACTTTCGAATTAGTTTTAAAACCATTATTTTGCATTGTATTGTTGGCGTCCCGGGCAACGCCGGGTTTCGGTGCTGGTTTGGTATACAACAATAAAATATCAATATCGTAATATTTGTAATCATTATATTACTGCTTGAGCCACCCTCATTTGAAAAATATCATTGCCATCAGCAAAGTGTACGTTTATTTTATCGTATCAATTATTGAAAGAAAAAAAAATATTACAACACAAACGTTTTAACAAAACTTAATTCTTTATCACAGCGGTATACTTGTTGAGGTTAATTACTAGTAAATCCTATTGATAATAGTTAACAAGACTTTTACTTAAGTATTCTCTTTTTTAATTACTCTTCTATATAAACAGTAATGATAATTAATTGAAGAAGCTTGAGGTTGACAACTCTCAAAGTCTGATATTCATCAGCACATTCTAATGACGAACTATTACCATTACTATTTATATGTGTAGCTTGAGTCTTATTACATCATATATACATATTAGTTAAATCTTTATTTTAAAAATTAACTTTTTCTGTGTAATTGTTTTACACAATTACAATTAAAAGTAAGCCTATAAATTTAATATTCATGATCACCGGTTTATATCCAAGAACCTACCTCATTCTTCATTCCTTTGTGTAATTTATTTAGTCATTAACCTACGAACTATATTTACCACGTCTTACTAATTTTCTGACAGTATTAAGCTACCAACATATTAAATAGCAAAAGGTGTTTTAATATACTGCCTTAAATTGTATGACATGTACTATGCCACTCATCCTACACTCATCCTTCATGCATATTTTGGTTAAAATAAGTGGCGTCCCCATCTTATATAATTGATTATTGATTGATAATTACTTTGTTTTCGTAACTATTCCTTTATGTTTCCTAAATATTACAAGTGTATTTATAAACCTTTAATTAGTAATTTCTCCACATTAATACTATACAGATTTGCGTTAATCATAACCAAATTGTATCATTGAATACATACTACATTAAGTAGCCTACATGCAGTCAATGATTTAATCCACTCCTTAAAATATGCCACTAATGCTAAAAACCTTAATGACTGTTACGAAATAGAATAAAACAGTTGTGTAGTAATCGTGGTTGTGTAATAGAAATAAGCTACGTTTGGCAGGTCGTAGTTATCTTCTTAATTTAATGATTTGTTCTGGAGCAAGCTGTGGCCCGGAAGTTGGAGTTAAGGGCCAAAGTTTTGGCTTCTTCTTCAGCTAAAAAAGTTTCCGATAACGATCGTTATCAGAAGACTGTACTAAAAATACATAGTTGCATTTTGTATATGTCTTTCTTATACTGTATTAGTTTACCATCATACATACCATTTTGTTAGATTGATTTAATTTTAAAATTCATTGAAATTAATTTTTTTAATTATAAACAAGGGTCAAAATACTTCGATTTAAATCATAAAACCCGGATATGGCTAGTTTCTAACGACATCTTAGCAAACACTCGAACATATTATGGATTATTCCTCTATTTTTTCCGCTTGTAAAAATCAAAAGACAAAACTGAACTGCAAGAGATAGGAAAGTTGTTTACTAGCAAGACATGTTGCTGGGACTGACGCTACATTATGATATAGAACCGACGAAGGCACTAATAATAAAATTAGTCATGAGTTTGGTATACAGTGTGCATATTTTGTTCACGTAATGTGGGCCAGATTAGGTTGTTTGATGCTTTCGAGGACTTGTCTAACCACTTACGCCGACAAAAAATGATATTTGAGGTAGACAAATATTTTTTTACTATGGCAAAAGTGCGAGCGAGCCAGGAGGCAATGACCATTGATAATGTTATACATAAATCTTATTTAATTTTATGAGGTTAGGAGAATTAATTAGTGAAAATCAAATTTTTGACAGTAAAATCAAAAGTTTAGGCTGTACTACAAATTGCTCATTGTTGGTGCTGACTAATGCTCGATCTAGCCAACGATGCAAACTAAAAAAAAACTGCACTTTTTACCTTCTTTAAGTTTTAATAAATATATTACTACGTTTGCACACTTGCTGTTAATAAGAAACTACTTGATAATCATTGTAAAACCTGATCCGTATAAAAAGTCAAAGTCAAATACAAATTACTCGTGTAAAAACCTGGCAAGTAATGGAAAGCCTAATGTGCTCTTACTAGAAGGAAGGCGTCGCATTTGAATTGCTCATCTTGCATTATCGTCGCTTTGAAGCTTAGAGGATTCGATTATTGTTTTTACTATGCTCTCAGGTTTAAAAAGCCTTTGACTCTTTTACACTAAAACATAAAATACTACATCATCACGAGGGTGTTCTGATACGTTTATAGCCATGTATGTCAAAACATAATCTAGCCAAAGAAAAAATCTAACCAAATACAATTTCTAAACCATACAGATTATTTAAACGTGTTTAATACTGCTAAGTTTTCAATTAGAGAAGGTAATGTTGGTGAACTATTCACAATCATGTTGAATTCGAAATAATTAAAAAAAATATGCTTCGACAATATATCTTATTTTTGTAAAGAATAATCAGAATCCACAACTTATATTTCCCGTAAATCTGACCTTGCATTGTTAGGATAAGAGGTAAGGCATTCAGAGTAATAATTTTGTGTTGGGCGGTGCTGCAGGATGCGGTGGAGAAAGTTGGGGTTAAGGGCCAAAGTTTCCCGCAGATCCCAAGAAGAAAAAGTTAGTTTGTAACGATCGGAAGCCGAATTATACTTAGCATAGAAATGCCTAATGGATCGAAGACAATAGCACGGACTTTCCTCAACAATTCCTTATCGTAAAAAGTAACGGTAGTAAAGTCTATTAATGAAATGTAATTCTTACGATAATAGATAGGTAAAATTTATGGGATTAAAAAGTAATACATGGCTCTTTGTAATAAACGAGTTAGATTTTTACCTTACCTTGCCATACACTGTTTCTGTTTCGAGTATTTTGAACTTATTTGCACCTATATGAACCCAAATGTGTGTTTGTATATTTCCAATTTAAGTTGGTTGAACTTGAATTTAATTTATTATCAGAAATGAACTAAACGCCATTCAATTGACTAAACGAAATATTTCAAAATCTATAAACGTTCTTAAAAAACATATGAAATGGTATTTGTTTAAAATTAATTCAATTCGCTTTATAAAATATAAAACAAGTTTTATGAACATATTCCGGCCATATCAAATACTGCTTTTCAAACTGTATCCATTACAATTCGGTTTATTAGCCAAAGATCCCCTTACATTTACAACGGATCGATGTTATCAGGTGTTAATTATTGGCAGGGACTAATTACAATCTCATCACGCCAGCCAATCAACGGTGTTTACAAAGCTGCATCGAAATGTTTCACAGGTGTTTAAACAACTATTTCTATTGGTGCACATTTACTCTTTACAAAATACGTTACTTTGTAAAGGTTTTACTTTAGTACGATACATATAGGTTGTATTGTATACACTTATCCTATCAGTGACTTTGCTTTTTATTCAGCCAGCACTTAATTAAAAGAAAATGTTTTATTTTTGGATAACGTAGACAGCCATGCAAAAATAAAAAAGATTATGACAGACAATTTCCCTTACAAGAAAAACCATTATTTCGCACTGTTACCAAAGTAAGTAGTATAGTCAATGGTAGTATGTACAAAGTAAATTAATTTGCACCATCAACTAGCTTGGACAAGAGAAAGTGGTCAACTTTAGTCATCAGGTGAAACTTGAGTTATAAATCAACCAAAACAAGCATCAGTTGGCTAGTTGCCTAGGAACACAACAATAGCGTCACTGAATGGACTCCATTGACGATTTCCTTTGGCAAAGTTGCTTGAAACAATCAGTGAATGTCCCATTCCTCCTACACAAACATCTGCATACATCGACCTCTCTGTAAGATTAATCATTTAGGCAATCAATAATGTTTAATATTAAGGTTTCTTTTAACAAAAATATTTTTAGAAATGTTAGCGTTAGCAAAATTTTTCTGATGGTTGATCATAATTACTGTTATGGAGGAAAACAAAAAGTCAGGATCATAGAGAATTTGGTCCAGTTATGTGGAGGTCTAAAAGAACCAGTTATGTCATGGCTTAAACTGTTCTTCTTTTATATTTATAATCACCTGCAATGAATTGTAAATTTTTCTAAGCCAAGAAATCGTGACTGCAGTTTTAGTTTTATCATTCTCATAATTGATAAATAAACTACATGCTCAGTGGGTGTTTACATATATACAGTGTATAGTTTAAGGTGCCAAAACAAACCATTTTTGACCAAATGAGAGAAGTAAATTTTGCATAAAAATAAAATTAAAGAACGCAATTCAGACTTCACGAAATCGTCAGTTTTCTTTGGCATAATTTTGTACTACCATTGCGATATTATTCGTCACAAGTGGTATGAACCTACCAGGATGGTAGGGGGTGAGGAAAAGAACATGCCACCGAATGGGGGGGGGGATTTGGCCGGGCTCTGTATTCGTATTCCACAGAGCAGGTAGGTACAATGCGATCAACAGTATTTACAAGAAGTAGACATTTGTTGCAGTACCAGCAGAGGTAGTGTGGGCCGTGCCTGGTGTGGACGCAGAAATACCTTTTGACTTTTCAATTCCTATAGGGACAGAGTCATTATGGAGTTGTGGTTTGAGGACAGGCTTTGAAGTTCTATTCCACAGAGCTGGTAGCTGCAATGCAATCAACAGTATTTACAAGTAGACATTTGTTGCAGTACCAGCAGAGGTAGTGTGGGCCGTGCCTGGTGTGGATGCAGAACTACCTTGTGACTTGTCAGCTCCTCATGGGGATAGAGTCATCATGGTGTTGTGGTTCAAGGATGCCACAGGAGTGCCATTGTACAGGTAGGAACAAAATATAACGTAAAAATGCAAATAAACGAATTAATAAGTTCTCATAAATATTCGGTCCTCTTTTGTAAATGCCCGGTACTGTACAGTTCTAAACAGAGTAGCTGTGGTGGTATATCATCTGGTATAAAAGACGAACTTTCCATCAATATATTTATTGAATTGAAAAAAAAAAAAATTAGTCAAATTTAACTTCAGCGAAATCTCAAATAAAATGCAAATTGTTTTGAACGGCAAGAACGTATACATTAATGCAATATTTTAATCAGTTTATGGCCAATGATTTAGGTGATAACACTAAATTTCTTTCTTACAATCTGAATATATTCCTCACATTAATATTTACCAGGATACACGAGTGTGATTTAAGGGGCTTTTACTTTCAACTTATGTTTGTGAAAGTTAGTTTATAATTGGGCAGAATAACTTTTACTGGAGAACTGAATAGCTTGCATATAGAAATGTAAGTTTGACTTTAAGATTCCGACTTTGTATAAGTAGTCCTCACAGTGACTGTGTATCCCGTTTATGTGTCAGAGTGGGGGGAGGGGAGTACTGTAAACCACATATGTGTGACAGAAGGGACGAAGTTATATGAACGCGGTTTATAGCAGGAACATAACTAATTTAAAGTATCCCTGACGTTTTGCAGCCTTGACGCCCGTAATCACACCCTAGGCGACGCCCCTCTTCACTGGGCCAGTACAGACTCCCAGGGCAAGAGATGTCACTTCCTGCTGCGGTCATCCGACCCGGACCATCGCGCCGCCCTCAAGATCACCAACGTCCAGGAGAGTGACGAGGGAATCTTCAGGTGTAGAGTCGACTTTCTAAACTCTCCAACGAGGAACTACAGAGTCAACCTTACTATGATAGGTAACTCAACCGGGAGCCAGTAAGCTGGTTTTATCAATTGAGTACAACCAGTCAACCAATTTTACAAACATTTGAAATAGTTATGAAATCATAAACCTCTAAACGTAACAGGCATTCCACATCAACTTAATAAATCGTAAAATTTTATGTTTGCTGTTAATTGTTAAAAAAAGTGAGTGTTGTTGTATACAATTTTCAATAAAGATAAGCTATAATGCTGCCATCAATACATTTAATGTATTTCATTCTATAATTTGAAGTGAACCATGAATAGGATAGTAATAGTACATTGCACCAAAGGAAAACTATAAGTTGTAATCAGTTTGACTCAACACCAATGTAAAAACCTCCATCCTCAATAATAACTCTAGGGCAGCATGCAGCATCTCCTTATCCAGGAAACATTCAGACCTCTCTTGGTAGTCACATGTCAGTCCACGGCCACAGCTATGATAGCCTTGCCAGTCCAAGTATAAGCTTCGTACGATTAAAACTTTGCTGCTAAAATCCAAAACACGAAAGTGAACAGCTTTCAAATAAAATGAATCCATGAAAATGGTTATACATGTTGTTTTTCACGTCAGTGTTATCAGTTTAACGATATTTAAGTTGTAAACAAATAAAAGCAATTAAAGTTGACAAGATATAGGGTGAAAATACGCAAAATAATGATATATATATATATATATATATATATATATATATATATATATATAAATTCTGTACCTGATAAGTATTACCTTAAACTGCTTAAACACTGAAACTTAAATTTAGTTTATGCAGTTCAAATTTACACAATTAATTATGCATTAAAACGATGAGAAAACTAGGGAAAGCGACAATCTTTTACTATTCTAACACATTTAAAACATTCAGATTCAAACAAAAATAAATTAAATCATATTATTTATTCCTTATCCACTGTCCATCACAGAGCCTCCGTCCACTCCGCAGATTATGGATGCTGAAGGCAATGAGGTGATGGGGGTGGCGGGACCGTTCCTGGAGGGCTACGACATGCAGATGTCTTGTCACGTTAGTGGAGGTAAGACAAGTACTAGCAACTGACCATGTTCTATATAGTGATCATAGGTCGACTAGGTGATAGCAGTAAAATTAATCTAGCTGGAGGCTAGATTATATTAATATCCTAATGTATATATCATGTTGCCTTATTGGATATGCGTATCAATCATTGTACGCATTATTATCAAGTGTATCAATCTAATACTGTATTACAACCATTTGTATTACATTATTCTATACCATTATAATAGTGTATATTAAGACAATACTTTACAAAATAGCAATCTATTTATGAATATTATTTGTGGGCTTCATTCACCTTTATTTTTGACTATGGTGTCCAGGACTCGTCAAAACACACACAAACAAGCAGACCGGTATATAGAAAACACGCAATGGCCCGTCGCATCAAATTAAGAGGTTTCGCGGAACTCACAAAAAACGTTGTGTTTGGACGAGTCCTGGTAATCATAAACAAAAATAAAGATGAGTGCAACCCACAAATAATTTACATAAGTGAATAACACCTCGCCTAAAAGAATGTAATTTAGAAACGAAATTGTTATTTGTGTAACTAGTGCACTAAGTGGTACTTTGCTGCAATTGAGAGGCGGCTCGTGTGGAAAGTTTCTCGAGTGCAGCCAAAGAGACTTTGCACTCGTGCTATATATTATATTTTCCTACAGTTACTATAAAGCATGAATAATGGGTAATCGTATATTGTAGCCCATAACTTATAAAAATGGAGATCTGACAAATGAATTCTATACACTTTGATGAGGCATTGTGTATAATGCCACGTTGTCACTTGTGTGTCTTAGGACGACCCAGGCCGGATGTGAGTTGGTGGTCGGACGGTCTGTTGGTGGATGACAGGAGTGAGAGTGTGTCTACCAGCTACGTTGTCAACCGACTGTTCGTAGGCACCGTGATCAGATCCCTCAGAAACACAGTGTTCGAATGCCGAGCTCAATCCATTCCTTCGGCACCTCCCGTGTCTAGGAAGGTTTCGATTGAAATATTTCGTAAGTATTTTGTGACTAATGTTAAAGTTAGAAACGGACTTCCATGTTTATTTTGTTTAGCACCGGTACAGACGGGAATGGGCACACGGAAGGGACTAAGGCTAAAGGTGTAGTGACGTCATATCTCTAGTGGTTAATGTCTTCTCTTGAGGCGACACGATTACCGTAACGAAACGATGTGATTTCTGCGGCGTTCGTGGCATAGTTGGTAGCGTTTCGGTTTGGTGTTCAGGAGGTCCGGGGTTCGTAAACCGCCGGCAGCACTAACTTTTTGTCAACAAATTTTTCATTTCAGCAAGTTTGGTTGGTTAGGTTAGGTTATGACAGTTTAATTTTATAATACTAAATTTTAAAATTAATTTTATAATTAATTAAAAATTATAAGTAATCATTAATTTGGATGTTTATCTTATATGGTTTTTATATTATCAGCAAGTCTGGTTGGTTAGGTTATGTTATGACAGTTTAATTTTAAAAATTAAAAATTAATTTTATAATTTTAAAACAATATTTTATAATTAAAAAGTTAATTTTATAAAAAAATTAAAAATTAATTTAAATTTTTTCAACTTAGCAGTCCTATCGGCGAACGATGACACTACAAGATATGTTAGCCTTAGTCCCTCCCGTGTGCCCCACCGGGTACAGACGTATTTATGTCTTTTGACTTAACACGCTGTTTATTTTTAGTGAGCATATACAGCCCAACGGGAAAAACATACAATATACAGTATAGTGTCCCAAAACCGATGGTCACTATATAGTGACCATCATTATATAAATTGAATTGGTCTATCATAGGTTCAAATTAAGAGATCTCCCATTATAAGGGTTGCATTAAAATCTTAAATCCGGTAAATACAAATTTTTACATCGCTACTTTCTGCTCATATACTCCTGTAAAACTCGAAATTCTTACAAGGAACGTCCTGGACGTTGTGAAATCTTTGTATTTTAAATTCATTATGGGACAATTATGAAACCATTGTACCCGCAATAGTTTCTTAAATACAGTATCAAGATTCCCTCCTGTTCTAAATCTTCTACGTTTACGCTATTACTAATTGCTCAGCTAAAAAAACGATATACTAGAGTATGCACTCTTCTTAGATTTAACCACCAAGCTTAAGAAAGCAAGGCGAGTTACTCGGTTACTCCGTTGATTTTTGGTATTACTTGACACATTGTATTGTTACAGTGTTTACTGCAATAAGTGGATAGTGTTTGAAGTTGTGGGTATAATTCAGGTTTTGTATTTAGCTTATCAGCTTATTTGAGATTCATCAATTACTCAGATTGTTCTAATTAGGAGTATATACATGCTTTACAACAATTTAAGCAATTACTTAATTCGGTAAACCGGTTGATATTTCAAATACTAGTTTATGCAAACTAGATGACCTGTTAACAGTATACCATTACTGTTATATAGGGCTGGCGGTAGCGATAGGAGACAACACATACACATAGAGTTAAGCGACGCTTATTACAGACATAACAGTTGACTGTCGATACAAATGTGTGTATCTTATTGCACGACGTGGCACTATACGGTTACCCTCATACATTACACCACCGATACTGCAACTATGCAATGTATGGGATGCGATCCAGTCATGATTTGGCTCATTCCTGTTACTAATTTGGATGATAATATGTAAAGTTCTACTCCAAACAGTCGTTTTTAAAACATTTTGGACATAGTAATACTGTTGGATTAAACCACAGACTAGTTTGGTTATTTTGTCCCTAGCAACCGTACATGTTGACGTCAAGAAAATGCGTTGTAAACCTCTTCATTCTGTTGTATGCACACTCCTTAAAAGATTATATTTCCTAGCGTTAAGTCACGATAAATATTTATTCTTAAATATATTGTAAACAATGCAGCTTCACAACTGTATTTAACGTATCTGAATCAGGTCATTAGTTGTTTGTATTACTTGAGCAATTAATACTCACGACTAAAGTAAACTCAAAGTTATAAATGTTCAAATTAAGCCTTTAAAACTATAAAACCAACTTAAAAATCCACCATCTATCTACATTTTGTTTAAAACTGCTGATTCCTTATTGATACATGCCTAACCAATGCAACTTAAAAAACTGTACGAACTTTAAATAATATAAACCATAAAATATTCTAGAACAATGTATAGAAAGGTACTGGTACACTCAACAATAAGTACTAGTAAACTCGTAATAACTCACAATTGGGCCCTAATTAAAGCTACGTTCTTGTAACCAGTCGGTAGATCTAACTTAAAATAAAATTTACGATTTGAAAATTTTTAGTTTATTATACCCATAATTACAATTATATATAAATACTAGCAGTTACCCGGCGCGCGTTGCTGCGCTAACAAAATACATCTGTCTGTGTGAAAAGCATGCTTTTTCTACATTTAAACCGACGATAGTTAGGGATTGCACTAGTACCTTATAATGGTGACTGCGAAAGCAAGACACTAAGGAAATTGTAGTTGCTTAAATTCAGAGGGTAATTCGGATGAAATCATCAGTATTCTTATGATTAAGACTATTTCTCCCTTAAACCTACCACTGATAATTTTTGCTTTAATAAATTTTGACGTCATTTTTTTTATCGTTAGTCTGGTAACGTTGTACAGCTTAAGTGGATTTAAATTTTGCATTAGTATTATTGGAGTTCCTCCTTTTAATGACAGTAATGTGGTGGGTTGATGACAAATTGAGAGGCATTTGAATACCCGAGATAGCACGCACTATTATTATTAACTTAATAATTTATGTTAGATTGTGTGGGTATAGAACGAAAGATAAAAATATTAAGGGATTGTCCCTTTTACTGTTTATAATACTTTGATAAAGGTTTTTATGTTTTTAATATTTAACATTGGAGAATTTAAACGTTGTTGAGTGCACAGGTGTGCTGTGATTGGGGTTTAATACATTTGGACTTATTATTCAAAAGTAAAATAGTTTTCTGTGCTGCACTCGGTAGAAACACTGTGGCACTATTTCAAATCATGAGTCATGAATAATGCTAATACAGAATGTTGTGATTATTCAAACCTACAAAACAGTTGGTGAAAGTAAACATCTGCTTTTAAATTATATTTATTTGTAAACATTGTAGATCAAAAAGTCTGACATTGGCCCACTTAAAACTCTGGGGCAGAGCCCTTTTGGCGGATCTGCACCAAACTTCACTCGAACCATCCTTGAAAGATGCTTAATAATGCCTGAAAGTTTCATTACAATCTGTCGAGCGGTTTCGGAGTCCATAACGTATATACATACACACATACATACATACATATTTCCTCTTTTATAGATATAGATGTCTAAAGCTGTAAGTGAAACTTAGTTTTTGTTGAAGGAATTTCGCTTACATACAACAGTTAAAAATATCATTGTTATGAAACAGCAAAAATAAGCGGAATATGTACTGATGGATTAATTGAAGTTAGTGTTAGTAATTCATGCTAATCATCATGTAAAAACGGGTCACTAATTACGTAGACTAAGGAATTACTTCAAAAACAATTAGTATAAACAACGATAGTCAAATTAATCTATTATCCCTGAATGTATGATACACGCTTTCGAATTTAAACGCATCGCTACAGATGACTACATTAAATTTGAAATTAGCTGCTATACATTAATTATTTATTTGACTTGTTGTGTATCAGTGAAGCCGTTGACGGTGAAGATCACATCGCCAGTGGAGGTGTTGTCTGCTGGCAAGTCTAAGCAGATATCTTGCGAGTCTACTGGTTCGTTCCCCCCAGCACGCATCACCTGGTGGTTGGACGGCGAGATAGTCCGACACGCAGTCACCACGGTAATTCAACATGTCTGATTTTTACCATAACTATTTTATGTTCACACAAGCTGCTATGCCCGTGCTTTGCAACGGGAATAAAATGTGACCTAGAGAGCTATTAAAATAATTCTGATGTGTGTTTTAAAATACAGCAACTCTATGATATAATTTGAAAATATAAACTGATTTAAAAGTGTAAACCTACTTACTTTCAAACCCCTACTTTTTATGTAAATAGGTCCAAAAGAATATGACAACATACTGTACCTTAGTGTAGCAATAGCATCAAATGCTTCATATTGTTGCTTCGCGAAAGACATGTTTACCACCATTATTCAACTTTAGTCAAGCCTCTGCATTTGTAGCTTACTATATAAATTACAAAATGAAACTTTGAGCAATACTTTTCAAAACGTATACAACCTTTCTTTAAACCAAACATAACCCTCCTAAATCTACATAAAGCGTCACAAACATATTTTTTTAGTAAATAAACAAACACCAGTTCATTGTACTGACCAGCTGTTTCATTAACTAAATTAAATTTAATCATGTAAACTCTGGAAGCATGCCAGGCGTAGCCCTTTGGAAATCAGCCTGTGGGGCAGAGCCCTTTGAAAATTCGTCCATATCAATACTTTTCGACAAATCTACACACTCTAAGCTTCATTTTGATGTGCCATATGCCTATATTTTTATTTAGTAAATGGCCTTAACCGTTTACATACAATTTGATTGTATCACTTTAATAATATAATAGATAAATATGTTAAAGAAATTTTAAATGTACAAACAATATTAAATTTCCAATCATGTTGCAAATTAATCCAGTCTAACATTGTTCCTATATGGGTAACGTATATTCTTAGAATATCGACAGAATTATTTAGCTTCGACTTACACTAACATGGAATATTTAAAATGGAGATTGGGGTCGAAACAGTGTATTAATGAACAATCGGATATTGAAAAATTTAATGTTCCTAAACAATATCGTAGAAAGGGTAAGGAAGGGTAATATTTTTAGCAAATGATGACATTTCTAATTACCTATGTAAAAAAAAAGTTCTCGAAAATAATACACTTATGACCGTAAGCTTGTTGGTGTTGATCATGAGTCTACTTAAACTTATCTCTGCACTTCGTAAGAGACACATACAGTGTTTTAGAGATAAAAACCATTTGCTGTGTCCTAAATGAAAGTGTTCAACTCATTATGAAACAACACATACTAACTTATGTAACATTCCTTCATTTTACTGATCTGTAAAAAAATTCTAAATGAATCAATAAAAATGTTTTAACTTAACATACATAAGCGTCTAACATTGCAAGTAGAGAGTTAGTATTGCAAATTCTTCTTTATTCGTAACTTCCTTAAATGTATGTTAGTACAGTACAAGAATGAGCAATGCGTTTTTGACATATGTTTGTATGTGGAACTAAACAAGAATCCGCCATTTTGTTAATTACTAACAGTTTACGTGTGACAGATTGGTAACCATGGCAACAGCACCTCCAGCACACTCACGCTGCGGCCTGAGGCGGGCGATGACAGCAAGGAACTGGTCTGTCGGGCGGAGAACCCCAAGTTCAAGGGAACCATCATAGAGGACCGTCGCTACATCAGGGTGGCTTGTACGTAGCTGCTTTACTCAATTGAGAATAAATTATGCAATGGAAGACATTACTTTTTCGTGAGCGGATGTTATACTGTTGTAAATGAATTGCTATGTGATTAATCAGTATGTTTGAAATGAATTTCATATGTAAAACATAAAGAAATTCTGCTGATTGCATCATATACTAAAACAAAAAAATAAATACACTTAAGAATAGAAACCATGAATTTATTACAGGCACTTAAATGTTGATGTTCTGTCTACCAAAATTGGCTTACCTGTTTCTGCGTAATCTAATTGTTACATGTTACCGCAACTAGGTTTCGAATTCTAAGGAAGTCATCTTCAGCCATTAAAGGATGTCATGACCGTTTCATATAAAGGTTGTCAAAATAAGTACAGTAACTAAACGGACATGAACAAACATAAACATTACAAGTGTGGACATTTAAACTATAAAACCGTACATTTAAACAATTAAACGACAGTAGGCCTTAGAACAATATCGGTGAGTGGTTCTACTCGGATGGATGTTGAGTCTAGGTGCTTCTTATTACTGTAAATTTATTTAAATAATTTTGTGTTGCATATCTAGATTTTAGTAATAACAAAGCTTCAAGATTTTAAGTGTAGATGTACTTGTGACAGTAATTAGTGAGTTAGTTTAATTTAGCCAGTTTTAAAATTAAGAGCGTGATTTTTGTAGCATCAACAAAATTTGCGACTCAGAAGTAAATATCTGATTTCAAATCTTTTTTCTTGCAAGTCCATATATAATATATTTACAATATATGTGTTACTGACGTACACACGATTGTTCTGGCCCTCCAATTCTTACCTAGGCATCGCACATTATTGTTTTACTGCCAACTACAGTAGCATTGTTGTCACAGACCCGCCCGTGGTGTCCGTGTCCCTGGGATCCAACGTCGGCGTCTCGTCTCTCCGCGAGGGCGACTCTGTGACGCTTACCTGCGACGCCCGGGCCTTCCCTGAGGCCGACCGCATCACTTGGTACCATGGGGTGAGTCACCAGTCACCAGCCACAACGATTATATAAAGCATGTCTCAAAACTACTTCGGTAACTTAAATTCAATATTGTTTAAACGACACTATACACTTCCAGTCTCAATATAGTGGATTTGCAGTTGCTTGGTAAACTATTCTCTAAAGGTTATGTATGATCTAGTCTATACATAAATCTAGTTGATTTTGTCCCTATAGTTTATTTTTATTTTCAGATTGATTTAAATACATCAATTAAGTATGAGGCTGTGTATAATTTACGAAGAATAGTATAATTATTTCATCGCTAGGACGTAAAGTGCCTCTCTCTTGAAAATACATTTTGTCCATGGGATACACTATATTTTCCGTCATATTGCATAATTAAATGGTAACCTAAGCTAGTAAACGAAAAATATTTTTCATGTAGAGACAACCTCTCAAAGCAACTTCCAGCTTGATCACAATTAATTGTGCTAATGTTAATAAACAGCTTCCTAGGGGCTAAAAAGGCTTTGCCACTTTAGACCTGACTTTTTAGCTGAAGTATGACGAAAAAAACAATTTTGTTGTTTAAATTCTTAACATACATGTAATACTTTTGTCATCTGTCTCGTTTCTTAAATATTTAATCACAACACTGAAAAACATAGTTGTTTGTGCACATAATCATAAATGCATTCAGTTATGTGCTTGAGACAAATCTCTAAGTTCGGTTCCTTCAATCCCTCGAGGGAATTCGGAACAGAAAGTGCAAATTCTATTTGCTTGAGTTATGCGGGTGTTTCCACGGTAAACAGAGGTGGAATGGTAACGCAAAACAAACAAGGCGGGGAAAAGCACTCGACCGTCACGGGGTAAATAAACCGTCAAAATATCCACTTCCTAACGTTTGATGTTGCCTACTTTGAGGGGAATAGCTGAGTAGACTAGAAGCCAACTTTTCCCATGTGTAAGCCGAAAAATACATTCTTCCGAAGATGTTGTCGATTTTCAATCGTCAAACAAATACATGTTAGTCTTTGATATTGCACTGTCTGTTTTACTGCAGGAAAACTGAGTTATGAAAATAATTCAAACTTTATTTTTCAATTGTAAGACTTATTTCTTAACAGGTACATTATTTTGCTATATTCCTTACGTTAAAAAGTAATTTGTGATTTGAGATACTACTACATGGATGTTATATAGAGAAAATACCAAATTCGACTCATAATATGGCTTGGAGTTTTACGTCGTCTTTAAGGTAGTTAAATATATTTCTCGTAGACCAAAGAGGCAGTTCGAGTTCTGGAGATGGTTATTGAGCGGAGCGAATCGAAGCTCTTATACTACACTCCTGCTTTTGTTTTAATATAATCCTCCTGAATGGCTGATGCGATCTGCATGAAATTTAGCACCGTCATAGTAACCAACTATGGAAAGGTGTAAATCTCAATTGGTACAAATCAGACTAAACCCCCTTTAGTCTCTGCATGAATTTTAAATGTTTAGAAATTTAACATGGACCTTTTAGGTTTATTGGTTCTCATTACAGTATTTGCTAGATAACAAAACAAAGGCAAACAAAAGAGTCGTATGCCTAACATATGTTAGTCAACAAATCATCTAAACTATCACCTATTTTTTTTATAGTATATTACAAATACAGAACAAAAAGGAAGAACACTCAGATGCAGATAAGTAAAGTTGAATTAATTTAATACGACATGAATAATCAAGTACCTTTAGAGTCTTAAAAGTATATAGTAAACAGTAAAAAAATACTTTCATGATTAGTTAAAGTAAAATGTTCCTGTATTTGCAGTAACCTGTGAGTAATTGTTTAACCATGTCTCTCATACAGACCAAGATGATGTCACGTGACGAGGCAGGGCGAGTGCTGGAGCTGAAGAGATTGTCCAGAACCTCCTCAGGAGAGTACGTGTGTGTCGCGTCCAACAGCGAAGGAGCCTCCAAAAGTCCCCCTATATATCTGGCTGTGCAGTGTGAGTAGTCATGGTTTTGGTCATTATATACAGAATCAATAATAGGAATCAAACGTTTGGGCTAGCTCCGGTACTATCCTGTTGGCTTTACTAATTTTACAAATAAAAGTTTACGTCATTTTGTAAGAGAAATTGGTTTTAATTCAATTACAGTCTGAAAATGTAAAAACAAACAAACCCAAATAAACAATCTGTAAATCAATAATCAGTCTGTAAATAAACAATTCCTCAAGTGAATATAATAACAATTTGAACACATGCTGGAAATAAAATGTAAATAAAAATATATATTAACAAAACCCATGAATTTACAGTATGTATCCTAATGTATTCATCTCTTACTTTTCTCTTACTGTGAGATAGTTAATGAAAGTAAGTAAATGTACGCCCTTAGTTACTAGATTTTTGTACAATAGTTATAGATATGTTTGCCAAAATTGTAATAGATCTTATGCACTATAAAAATGCAATTTTCCTGCCGTTTCTTATTTTGAAATGTTGCAGACGCCCCAGTGTGTAGACCAGGCACGGAGAACGTTGTGGTAGGAGCTTTACGTCATGAGACGGTAACAGCACGCTGCGAGGTGAGTCTAGACAACGCTTAACGCATTCTGTCACGCTTGTAACTGCGATATTTATACTATTAAAGCATACCCACGCAAGTGATCAGTATTCGATAGGAAATTTACGAAAAAATGTTTGAGATATTATCCGTAATTAATAATTCTAAAGAGATACTGTAAAATCTAGACCAAATAAAATATGAGCTTTATAGTTAAGCTTCAACGGGTATTACCACTCTTATCATCTACATATCAACTGTGAAAGCACTCACACAACATATCTACTCAGGTGCTGGCGGACCCAGGGGGTGATACGCTAAAGTTCTCCTGGACCTACAGCAAAGCCAAGGATGTCCTCCCCATCCCCTCAGACAGGGTCCGGTCCCTGGGACATGTCAGTTTACTAAACTACACTCCCATTGTGGAGTCGGACTTTGGCACCCTGGCTTGCTGGGCCTCCAACCCTGTGGGTCGTCAAGTCAAACCTTGTCTGCTGCATATTGTGCACGCAAGTAAGTACAATCTGCAAGCCACTTTCTCTTGTTTCTATTTAATGATTTATTGGTGGAGTATATTGCTTACCAAAAGAATATTTTATAGATGATTAATTAGAAATGTTTCACATTTTCTCATTGATTTTTTGACTACTTTAGTGACAATTTATTTATGGTCATTTAAACCATGTTGATACGTAAAGCTATGAGTTTTATTATTGTATAACATATATTAGAAAATGGTAAAAATTATTCAGACGAATGTTTAAACTAATAGAGTAGAAATTAATATGGAGCCTTGTAGCGGTTATTCCAGGTTTTAAGTAAATCATGGACCTCTATTCCTGTGGGTGTTCTATTGAATGTGCTTTACTATATTTATTTGCTAAATTAACAACCCGAATGGAACCCAAACACAGATCTAAAGAACTCAACTTTCCCCCATGGTACATGGTTCTTAGATGGTACATGGAGTTAAGACGGTTTGTTTGATAATAATTAAGTATATACCACTTTGTTGTTATCATTATATTAACATGTCATTATATTATGTAGCACTGTCCTTGCTCTGTTTAGAAGCCCCAGAGCCACCGCGAGACTGTGGGGTCCACAACAGTTCGGCGGGTCGCCTAGAGGTGGTGTGTACTGCGGGCAACGACGGTGGACTGGCTCAACACTTCGTACTGGAGGTATACTTAAGCATACACAATCAGACTACCTTTTACTACCATATTTTGGCTAAAAAGCCATCTTCTTGTGTACCACGAAAAAATAAAGCGTGTAAATCAACGACAACTTTTATCTAGGACTTGCTATGCTACAGAAAACCTTTATATCCTGGCCTCATTATCAAATGGCGAAAACATATCCAAAACGAACCTTTTGTTATAAGAGTACCTTTTGTTTTAGAGGCAAGGGATCTTTCTTCACAGATCAACTGCGATAATGGTATAAGCTAGTTCTAGTTGTGACCATTAAAGTAAATGTGACTCAGTTGAGCATGGATGACAATAAACCACTTTAAGGTTCAGTAATGTAAAATCATACCGAACATTACAGTTGTTATGCTAAATATTCTAAATGACCTCAGGTGCGAGAGACGGACCGACAAGCGGACCAAGCGACCCCCGGCGGCAAGGGAGGATTTAGTGTGGGAGCTCCTCTCTATAGAGACCTCGGTAGTATTCCTCGGTTCCTGCTGCACTCTATGGAGCCCGGTGCTGAGTACCAGCTGCTGATATACGCTAAGAACGCGATGGGAGTCAGCGAGCCTCCTGTGCTGATACAGGGTGTCAAGGTTTCATCAAACTTTGAAAAACTTGCACACTCAGGTATAGTATAAAAATGGAAATGCGATTATTTTGACGCACGTTTTGCAGCAATATAAGAAAATAGCTAGACCAACGATGAGATAGTGAGTCGTAATGAGTGTATTTATAGTGAGTACTTAACATCATTGAATAGACCAGTAATATCACTAATACGTTATCAGTGTTTTGTAGTTGTATTTAATATGGAGTTTAATGCAGTAACAAATTTAATAAATTAAATTAGGTAATATGGTGACGAACGTTTGTGTGCAGGTTCAGTGGTAGAGCTGGCGACGATGGCTGCTGACTACATGCCAGATCTGCTGGTGACGGGGCTGCTGGTAGCTGCTGGAGTTATCCTGGTGTGTGTTCTGGTGGTTGCTATGGCGACTCTCGTGTCCTGCCGTACACGTCCAGACCCCGGGGCGGCTCAGTTCCGTCTCAACAACGTCCACTACGGAGGCGGCTCCAGGGCGAGCTCTGCCAGTCGCGAGAAGCGGAGAAGTAGAGCCAGTGTCCAGGATGAGGGGGGTGGGGAGTGACTAGTATGACGTCACTTGTGGACCTTATTTATTGTACATATTGGAACAAAGACTAAGTGAAAGACAGATGGACACTATTATCGTTGTAATTAACCGATGTATATTTGGACCGTACATTGCATACATCTAGGACTGCTCGCTAGCTATTAAATGTGTGGTAAATGTATGAAAAATGTATTATTTAAAAGGTATAACCATTTTTATTTTTGTAAACTTAGATGTAATATATATAATAATACACTCTATAAGTTCCTAGGTCTTACCTCTAAGAAAAAAAAATTACTTTTTCATCACCAAATAATTTAAATAGAACTACGGATAGTCCTGTAAACCGTATAGTGAAGTCTAATTTTACACACTAACTAAATTGTAATTTAACATTTTTAGTTAACGTTGTTACATCTAAATATATGTGACAACGTAATGAGTAAACCGGTAGTCGACAATAATTATTGTATAAAAGGCCTTTTCGTCCAAAGTTAAACTTAGGATGTGAAATATTCTATTTAAAACTCAAACGCCAATTCAACCTCTTGTAAAGCTTGTGAATCTTTGTTTGTAAATGATCCAAAATTAGTGTTTCAGACAACACCAATTATTGATACTACATGCTAATTACACAGTCAGATATTGTTAGTTATAAAGGCGTGTATGTATGATTGCACGCTGTCGGTGGACAACCAAACACCAGCCGGATACGAAAAATCTTCAAATTGAACTAGTAATGTCGAGAAAATGTCTGGCTTTGGCTCTCTGGGCTTATTGTATTGCAATACCCACTGCACCACGCAACGATGATGCCAACCAATATTTTAAGGGATCACGGTTGTTTTGATATTTGTATCACTCCGTTCGTCGACTTTGCATAGGTCGTATATTATGCACTTCATTTATAATAATTTAAGACCAAGAAACCGAAACTTTATTTTGTAGAAAAAATATTTATGGGCTATGTGTGTTAAAACACAAGAAAAAGGTGTGTTTAACTGATAAGAACTCTCCGTTTCACTGTTAGCCAATTTAAACTAGGATAAAATGTATACTTAGAATTACGTAGGGTTTTTACAAAATAAAGATTTGTAATGTTCCTCAATAGTGCGCGTACACAACGTTGTCATTATAGTACTGTACCGTAATTTCATTGTTAAACTGTATATTATCAAGTGTATATTTATTTTTGTACTACCTCAGTGTTGAATGTTACCTTTAGTTTGGATATAAATCAAATTAAATAAACAAAAATGTGTTCAGTTTCGTCTACTGACCAATTTTACCTCAATAATAGCTATTTATAACAATGTAAGCCACATTATAAATTAGTGCACAGTGAGTTATCAGTGAATGTATTGTCCTAGTTCCAGGAAACCAGTCGCTTTGATATGCATTGGTGATATGAACGTAAGTTGATTGGTACAGATAGGTATAGTTTATTTGATGAATCTATCTTTGACGAAAATATATCACTTTTCAAACACTTAGTTCATTTATATAACATTAAAATATGCCTAATTGTTGTCTCCTTTAAATTAGATTGTACTATCTCAAACACATGCAAAACTATACTCTATAAACTGTGGAGCATTCATGTTATGTAAATGCTATATTTATAACATATTCAACTATGTGTTTAAATATACAGTACCGTGTCTTAAAGATAAGTTTTAGGAATGAAAATATACGATACTAAACTCAGCAAGTTGAGACTTTTAGGTTACCTGACAATGTGCTGATGTGGAAGTTTCTATTTTTGGTTTGATATTCAGGTTTACCCTTTTCCTTAGACCGTCATTTCCATGCAAAGGAGGCAAGATAGAGTCCATTGAACCAACCTTAAGAGATATCAACTACACTGGACATAATCTTATCGTCTCTTGAATAGTAAGTTTAAAATATAAGTTACACAGACATACAACAACAAGCATAGACAACAAAAAGTCATAGACCAACAAGAAATAATCACTGGCCAAATGCGTAAAACATAGTTTTGGTCAAAGTGTTACGGTAGTTTAAGTAATATACTATGATATCTTATCAACTATTATTTTATTAAAACGTTTATATTAGCTCGCTATCTTTCCGCATCAAATTTAGCAATCGATTTTAATCTAACATCCTCATAAGCTAGATACTTGAAACTTGAAACATCTGTTTACAGTTAAAAAGGTTTTGGTCATGTATTAACAGGTCATTAATAAAAGAGATTTAATATATTTACACTTAATGACTAAAAAGAATAAAATAATTTATAAAAAACCTTTTAAAGTACCACGTTTTTAAACAAACTAAAACGTAGAAAATAATTTATAGAAATGTGGGGAGAATAAAAAAAATACTTGTAAGATTTAAAACGAAAAAGTGAGTTGAATGCAATAAATACCACCGCCGCAGCAAACCTGCAGACTAAGCGAATTTACATTTGCCCGTATTATTTATAATAATATAATATTTATTATTATTTATAATATTTTAACCCCCTTTACCCAATTGTTACGGATAAATTGAAATATTAAAATTGCTTATATAGTTAATAACATATAGAGTCTAATTACAACTCAAATCCGTGGCAAGCACAGAGCAAACCATATATATATAATATATACAGGGTGGCTCGTCATCAGTGTTACACAAATTTGGTGGTGTAATTACGAAGTAAATTTGTGATGATGCATATAAGTGTTTCCAACTCTAAAATTAAGCTTCCCAAACAAGTATTTTAAGTTTAAAAAAACCAAGATTTTAAACACAACACAGTAATTTCTCAATTACATGTAAATGGATTTGAGTAGATGATGTAGCTTTAATGTTCTAAATTCAATATTAGTTGGTTAAATTATAAATCAAAAGTTAGTTTTGTTGTACTCATAATTCGTGATCTACAATTATTTGACTGACATACTTCATACAATCGTTGAGATGCCTTCCAAATATCAAATGTCCGATTACATCAAGTAGACTACTTGATGTAATCGGATATTTGATGACTACTGTAGTCATAAACATTTGACCATATGAGGAGGGGTCCGAACGCCACCAAAATGGTGGAGTTACTTTGTATATCAAGTACAGATTCAAAATTTGTATATAAAAAAAAAGGAAACCTCACAACTAAACAAACACATCCAAAATTGGTAACACAAAAATAAAGTACTGAAGAGAAAATAGAGTTAACAAAAACAAGCTGTAGTGTCAAAAAGAAGTAATAAAAAGTATATTAGCCCAGAACACAACACTTAGAATACACACAGATAGAATAGATGGTACATAATTAATGGTAAGACTTTAATGCCCATAAGAATAAAATTGGAACTTTGGCTTGCAGGGCGTATCACTTTAGTATAATCATTAAGGAATCTTTTGAACTTTCCTACTTTTGACCTGAATAATTAGTAAACCAAATTTTAGCCTTCTATACGGGTGGCGTCGTCCTGTAATCCAGCTACTAGGAGGTCACGAATTGTGGATATTTATAGGCATGCACTGTGGATGCGATACTCCCTGGTGTGGATTAACGTCCGCACGAGTGAGTACCACGACCATCTGCAGTACTATCCTGATAATTAGACAAATTCGTATATACCAAGGAAAATGTGGTTCGGATTCCACTATAAACTGTAGGTCCCTTAGTTGCCATTAGCTGTATGGGCTATTAATTAACAGCTGTGTCTAAGGAATGTCGGCCTTAGTCACTAACAAGACCTCAAGATCGCGCCACTCATCCTACACTCATCTCCATTCACACTTCGCTTAAAATACCTACTATGTATGGTCGCAATTTCATTGAACAGTATTAACAGTATAGTCTGAAATTCTGAGAATCAGTGATGAATAAGTAAGTCAGTGAGTGAGTGAGTGAGTGACTGAGTCAGTCAGTCAGTGATGGACTTTTAGATTTTTATAAAACTTGACGGTACACACATAACCCCTACGACGAAGTTGGTAGGTAAAATTTATTCCTTTAGTTTTCAGAATACGTAATATTATTTACATTCATGGGGAGTAAACACACGAGGACAGTTTTGTTGTAAACAGATGTTCCACCCAAAACCTATCCAATTTGTCTGAAGGCAACAAATGGCACAATCGACTGTGCATTGAATGCGAAATGAACCTACATCTCCTACTTTGGTCCGTAAACAAATGTGGCATAGTTTTATAATTGAAGTTGTAGTTTTACGTTTCTAGTATAATTTATGACGTTAAAATTTTTAAATTGGTATAATTTACTTCCTAATGGAGGTAATTTAAAATTGGCTCTTTACACCAGTGTATACATTGCCATAATTTCTAAGACATTCGAGTTTTACTAATTAATCTTTAATTTTTTTAGTTCAAATAAATATTAAAATTATAATTATAGTTAGCTATGTTATGGTTACCTTGTGTCATGGTTTGCATTGATATACGTGCAGCGTATACATAAAGAAAAATGCTCTTCTAAAAATTGGATAAAATAATATCCAAAAAACCTTTGAAGTGAACGAAAAGAAAAGAGGACTGGTAATGGGCTGGAAATATCCTGATAAATGTTTTGGCACATCAATACCTCATCGTCTTAAGGGATTGGAAGCTTAGGCATAGTGCCTATAAATTTGATCTCATGAAACAATAGAGGTAGTTTCTTTGATTTATTTTTGAGACACAGTATCCACATGATTTATAAAAGTAAAATTAGTCAGCAGTAAAACTTGCACTTAGGGATTAAATCTGAAATGTCTTTTTTTGTGAAGTTTGTTTAACTTTCTTTAGCTAAAAAGAAACAATATTCAGCACGTTATTATGTTTTGTGAACTGTGGTGAAAATATACACATTTGGTTTCAATAATTCGTCGTATCAAATAAAAAAGAGAAATAATGGTTTGAAAGAAGGCGTGTAAAGGCTTTTAGTCCAAGAATTTTAGGAATAATAAAGCCATTCGACCTAACAAATTCGGACTAAGTGGAAACTTTGCACAGTTGTTTAGTAAGCCTAAATAAATAAAATTTCAAAAGTCCCCATAAATCCCTGCTGTGCTTCAGCCGAATGCGGCTGAGGCACAGCCGGTATTTTTGGGAACTTTTGCCATTTTCATCAACTAGTCTCACTGTGCTTAACTGTGCAAAATTTCAAGTTAGTCCGGATTTTAAGGTTCAATTTCCTAATATTTACCGACAAAAAATTATACCGGGAGTAATAACGTAGGTACCACTTAAGTTTTTAGTAGTTACATGGTAGTGATAAAATAGTAAGTGGGCTTTAAATCATAATACTAATAAG